CACCTGTTCCATGAATTCGTAACCATAAAGAAACAACTAAGACAAAACGTAGTTAAAAAGGCAGCTTGAAATTATGGTGGTATAAATAAACCTGCCTCCCATCCAGCCCCCACCTCCTCTATTACACACACACACTACAGTGGGCGACATCTGTTGGCCGACAATAGTATTTCCCTCAGCTGTTTCGAAACTTCAGACTCAAGGCTATTCGAAACCTCACTGTGGCTGAGTAGTGGACACGACTTTTGTGCACGATAGTACTACAATTTCCCATAAACAACTTGTCACAAATATTAGTGAAAGTCATGATGGGTGAGAGGCAAAAATTTTTCAGGGAATTCACTTGCCTCTAAGTTCCTGGGTGACTGCCACATGCAGTACAACACTTCTGCTATATTCACATGGTTCATTACTTCGACCAGTAACATAAAAGGTCCAATGGTTTTGTACCATACCGGTATGTTGTGATGAACACGAGAGAACACACACATCACATGAACTTTGGGAATTGACAAGTAAGGAACATTGGTACCATCCTCTCTGTCTTCTCTATCAGATACTGCATCATGATAACCTGTTATCAGTCAACTCATAACACCACCATATACGTAAAGGTTAATTCTAGTTTCACAGTGTACAGTACAGTACTTTACAACTGCTACTATAACAGTCAACATAAACTGACCAGTAAGATAACAAATCCCCATCAACACATAATGTGCACTATCCTGACTGATGTTTCCTAGCACACACACAATGAGTTATTATCTTTACTATCAATGAGTTATCTCTACCTGTGAAAACTTTCCTCAAACAACTAAATCTTATGTAATGTTTAACGTTTCTTGCAGACACACTTGTAATCATTGTACAGTATTAAATTCCACAATAAGTTTGGCTGTCATATAAGTTTTAAAAATGTAGTTTAGCTCTGGCCATTCTGAACTAGAGAATTTTTTATGTTTTTAACGGGGATTAGCCCACCCGGGCACAGGTCACTGACCCACTTCCGGGCCCCAGGGGGACGAAAATGTAATTATATTAATAATAATATTAATAATAATAATAACAATAATAATAACAACAATAATAATTCAGATACCCCGGTAAGTAAAATTTATATTATAAAATACAAAAATAAAAATAATAAAATAACAATGATAATAATAATAATAATAACACTGCAATAATAATAATAATAATAATAATACTAATAATAATAATAACGAACCTTAAAGAAAAAAGATCAAGAGTGAGAAACAGTAGCTGTATTGTGTTGGCAAAGTAAGAAACACAATTGAGACCCTGCAATTGTGTGTAAATGAGGCAGAAAGTCAGATCAGCAACTTAGGACTTCGTCACAATTTTCGTGATGCCATATGGCAGCAGGGTGTACCATTAGACTTGCAAACTAAAACTACTGTAATGTAAGTCCCTTGTCATCTCAAATCAGCAGTCATAACTATCTGAGGCTGCTGTATGGTGACATGTGATAACCTTCACCCAAATACTAGAAAAGTGATGCCTAACTCCTTGGATAAAACTCAGTTTGTTGCATCCAAACATCTCCATTATGCACAACGAGTTTCACAGTACAGATCATAAGCAAAGTTTTCTCTGATACAGTATTTTACTACAGTACCCCATAATCCTCATAAGGTTTACAACACCTTTACATTTAGGAAGCAGCAATGTGTGAGCATCAATTTATGAAGTACAGTATTGTTATGATTTTTTTCTTTACCAATATGACTACAGTACAGTACTGCACTACTAAATTTGCATACCCTTTTATTTATTACAGCATTATATGGTACTGTACTGTAATAACTTTATACACATCCACAACTTCAATTTTCAAGATCATCCAAACAAAATTTCATGACCACATAATAATACTGTAAATACCTTTCAGATAATTTCTTAAGTAACCCATAATGGTGAGGTCATACAATATTATACTGTATTAGGCTAAAAAATTCCATGCTCAATGCTGTTGCTGTATGACCTGCAATCACATACTGTACCTACCTCCCTGGCCCATTGGCTGAGGACCAGCGAGAATTCAACTTATACAAACTAATTTCTCTGGATCTCCCACTGAGACAAACTTGTCTGACAAATGGGGACTTATTTTCTTGTTATTTTAATGAGCATTTAATGTTTCCAAGACCTTACAAGCTGGATACTTTTCAGGTACACATGACCCTTGGTATAGTATAGTATAGTACAGTACAGTACAGTACAGTACAGTACAGTACAGTACAGTACAGTACGGTACGGTACGGTTCGGTTCGGTTCGGTTCGGTTCGGTTCGGTTCGGTTCGGTTCGGTTCGGTTCGGTTCGGTTCGGTTCGGTTCGGTTCAGTTCAGTTCAGTACCAGGTACATTTGGCTGTATTTATACCTGGTAGCTAAAGTGGCTGGTGCATTTTGAGATGTGGCACCTATGTGTTTGTATACATTGTAGTTCATCTAGCTGAAACAACTACTTAATAGAAGACAGACTAAGGTGTTAAGTACCGTATACAGGCAGTCCCCGACTTACGACGGGGTTAGGGACCCAAATCCAGGTCATAAGTTGAATTGGTCATAAGTCGAAAATGCGAAAATAATACAGGTACATAGAAAATCTAAAATGGGTCTCTTTTTCTTCTCAGCACCACAAAACTCTCACTTTTATGCTTGCCAGCCACTTTAAATGGAATTACAAACGAAAATTTTGTCAGTACACAGCGCAATCACTAACGTCGTGACTCGAAAATACGTAATTTGAACCAATTTTGGTACGACTGCGGCGGTAGTATGTCCGGGTGGTCGTAAGTCGAGCAGTACCTTTATATTTAATCCTACTCTTATCTATGACTGCTGATATTTCCTGTTTGGATATATTTTACATTTATAATTACTAAATATAACGTCACTGCCTCCTATCTGCTATCTTTTGGATGTCAGGCCTACTACTATCCATATTTACTGTATGTGTACGGACTCATGATATGCTTCTTGGTTTCCCATGATTAAAATAAACTCATAAATTACACTGTATAACTATTCATGTGGTGTGAGGTGCAGAGTCATTCAGTGAGTGCTTGGTCGATTAGCTAGGGTGGGGGAACAGTCATTAATAGGAAGGATCATTAATTTTCAAATGTATTCTGGAACTAGTAGGTTAAGGAGCATCACTTTATGTGTCAATATGAAGATAAAACAATGACCTCTAGTAATCAGTGTGCCAGTGCATACTACCTTAATGTTCATACTTAGTTTGTCCTTCACCTTCACTCACACTCTTATGAGAGAAACCAGAATTTATATAAACTTTAGGATGACATGTTTGTGTATGTGACTGGCTGCAGTACCCCTACGGTGTGCTCACCCTCCCTGACTGTACTAATTACAGTAGCTTGTACACAACTGTCAAAGTTATAACAAACAACAAAAACTAGAGATATTAAGTTTTGTTTGTTTTTTGTTATAAAAGTCTTATTAATGACTGGATGCAGTAAAATAAAAGTAATCTCAAGTAATTGCATATAATTACAGTACTCGTAATCTAGTTTTTCAAATAGATGAGAATAAATTATGAGCAGATATTTATTGTTTTTAAATTGTTTATTCATCATTTTTAAAATGTTTAAGCAAACATTTCATATGTGGACAAAAAGATCTACTGAGAATGTAAGTAAAACTTGTGGTTGTCACACACTACAGTATAACTGCTGTATCACACAAACTACCTTCAGGAGAGTAACTCACATGGTCCAAGTATTTCCACTTCTTGATGGCATTTTGACAGGACCTTGACTATCGTCTTCTCTTTTAAGGCACGGAATACTGACCCTGCAGAGAACTAATGAATAAATGATTCTGAAGAGCCTTGATGAATTAGGTGATATGCACTGACCACTCCCAGGTTGGTGTTGAACAAGTTAAGACCTTATCATGTCTTACCTTAGGAGTACTACCTTAATACTTCATTAGTTTAGGGGTACAGTTTTTCATAAAAAGTTTATTCTTAATAATATTTTGTATCTTATAGCTTTCCAGTCAACCAGTGAGTACAAGTACTTTTTTTTAACAATTATCATAATCTGTGTTCACACCTTCAACATTTTGGCAAATTGACAATCGTTGAACAATAATTGCAGCAGCAATGAACCCCTGGGCATAGCTAATGTTCAGGGGTCCAACGAATTACCCAAAAGTATATTAAATAAGGGTAAAATATTAACGAATATCTGTTATACATACACAAAACATGTCTAATAATATTTTTAGTGTAATTTGTAAGATGAAATAATAAACAGCGAAAAACTTTCAGTATTGGCAAACGCTAAATTCCAAAGAGTTCGTGAACAAGGGAGATAACTCAGATCCATCGTGATGCACTTCACTAACCTAACCTAATGAAAAGTAAATCCTACGGCTATGTTAAATACCCCAAAGTAACAGAAACATCGGTAATTATATCTCTATTTTGGATAGGTGACTCTTTGGAATTTAGCATTTTTCGCTGTTTATTATTCCATTATTTTGACTACATTTCAATGAAAACATTATTAATCAGGTTTTAATGATGTAAAACATATATTCGTTAAGATTTTACCCTGATTTAATATACTTTTGGGTACATTTGGGTACTTCGTTGGACTGATGTTCAGACGTTCACTGATGGCCAAGTATCATAAACCTTTGTGATAGTTTATGTTAATTTACCAGAGGCACTGACGTCACACAGGTTGTGACATCATAAGTGGTGGTGTACAATAGGTGGTGGGGGTATAAAGTACAGGTAAACTACTTGTACATATTGGAAGCTGGAACTTGTTTTAAATACTATTAAAAATAAACTTTATGTAATTAAGTTGTTAAAAGAACAACAAAACATTAAAGTGGCACCCCTGACTTAAGACATTACCTGAAAAATAATATGTGGCTTTGACATCCAGTTCATGGTATTGCTCTAACACATTACAGTACAACCTACTGTGACCTTACCCAGCATTCTCATCCTGCAGTGGACTGTGGTTGTTCCGGCCAACAGCTTCATCATCTACCTGGAGGTGATGATCAAACTGTGAATGATGAGGAGGAGGATGATGATGATGCCAGGAGGGGTGGTGTACCTCCCCCTCCCTCACTATATACACCGGTACCAGAGGCTTGTACTTCATATCTTCCTGCTCGTCCTCTCTCACCACCGCCACTGTGTCACCCGATGGCTCATACTTCACAATAGACTTCCCACCGTCTTTCTGTGCCATTGTGGAGAGTTTCTTGGCACACACCCACCGTCCTCCACCGTCTACAAATACACCACAATAACAAACTTTATAGAGTTGTCGTACCTCAGCTCACGGTATTGTCGAACCATCACTCTTTAGAGAAATCATACATTAGTTGAATAGATAGATAGATAGATATATAGATAGATATTGATCAAGAGAAATAAATGAATAGATAGATATATTTTTTTGGTTTTATCCTCTTCGCCACTGATCGGCTCGTTAGCCTCTTGGACGGTCGGTTACGTCTCTGTTACATACTGTTGGTAAGTACTGAATGTATCTGAACCTGCTCCAGTGTTGATCAAGTATACAGATATTCACAATGTACAGTACACGAACAGTACTGGTATAATAGACCGATAGTCCAAAAAAATAAATTTGGTGGTGTTATAACTTTCTTTAGGCTCACAACTCAGTAGTCAGTTGTGACAGATGAGTGTTTGATGCTGTCGTCGTTAATACAACCGCCACGGATAATCCCTCATATAACCTTTCACTTTGAGTTAAATCGTTTTTTAATCAGAACTGAAACAACATATACGGTAAAGTAACAGCAGGACTTTATTATTCTTTTTGTTTTAATTTTAGTCACTTATCAACCTATAAGCGACGCACATTTAGGACTCCATTTATATATTTTTTTTCCCGTGTTTTCATAGTAGTAATGTACATATACAGTATTTTAAAATATATTAGTACTCATTGTCTGCATAATTTGGGACTGTTGTCAAGTAAATTCTCGTTGACCATCACTAATAATCATGCATCTGGCAGCTGTTATCTGCGTAACACGGATCAAGGTGAAATAATATGATTTAACCAACAAATTGTTCTGTGTAAAACTTCTAACATATTCCCTTAAATGGCCAGGTGAAGACTGAGGATGTTCAATCAGATGTGATGTTGTCAAGAGATATTACTGGTATAATAAGAAATAGGTTAATTACTATGGGTCATCTGGTAACATGACATCCATACTTATCAGCCGTGGCAGAATAAACACTGGTTTAATTATTTACCTCATAGTTTCAAAAGTAAAGTTTAAATGATAGTAAACTCACAGGAAAAATAAAACTTGCTCATTAACCTGATTAACAGTGGAACATAATTGGCATCTAGTGATGGTCACACATTACAATATGGTGAAGCAATAATTATTATGGTGGTGAAGGAGAGACTGTATAGGTTCACCTGTGTGTGTAGAGTTCCTTTCAAATGTGACACAATACACAACGTCTAATTTATTCTGTTATACACAATACTGTATTCAAAAGAATTCTCCAGTGTTGCGTCATGACCTGTGTAGTTGTTTATACACCCCAGTAAAGTACAGTACCCGCCACCAACATGAAGATGAAGTAATTATTAATTTTATCACTGCTTGGAAACCACTCTGGCGTAAGTTTACTCTATCTTCGCCAATAATCGAGCCCAGCCGTCAGATTCCAGAATGTTGTTTATAGCCATTAAACGGACTGTGAAGAGCTACAGAAAGATCTGAGATGCCGATCAGTTTCAAGAGGGGTATAAGAAATGGCTCACTCTAGAGATTCATATGTCCACTCTGGCGTAAGTTTACTCTATCTTCGCCAATAATCGAGCCCAGCCAGATTCCAGAATGTTGTTTATAGCCATTAAACGGACTGTGAAGAGCTACAGAAAGATCTCGATCAGTTTCAAGAGGGGTATAAGAAATGGCTACTGAGATTCAATGTCACGAAGTCTAAGAGGATGCACCTAAGTCGTACCAGCAGTAAGGAAGAGTATCACATGTCCCAACGGGATGAAGAAAGGGCATTATTTAATTGGATGCTGCTGCAATAATAGAGATCGAATGTGAAAAGGGCCTGGGTGTGTATGTTGACAACGAACTGAAGTTTTCGGGCCATTGTGAGAAGGTGAAACAAGCAACTAAGCTAGTAAGTCTTATAAGAAGGTCGTTCAGATATCGAGATCTTCAAGCGTGAGGTGCTTCCCCGTCTGGAGTACTGTCACCCTGTCTGGTCTCTGAGATATGCTAGACTGTCAGTTGATAAAAAAATGTTCAAAGGAAGGCCACCAAACTGGTCCCTGCACTACGGCACCTCAGTTATCCAGAGATTTTAGAACGCCAACTTACACTATACAGTAGACCAGGGGTTCCCAAGCATTTTCCAGTGCAAGTCATTACATTAAATATAAAGATTCGTAGAATATATACGGACATATTTTTACACGTATTTAACTTTTAAAACAAATACAGAAAATACATAACATAATTGAGAAGTGTAAAAGCAAACACTGGCAGAAACAGGTTATAACTCTGTCACGATTATATCATCATCTAGTGTTTTATGCCTGGGGGTATGATTATGTGGTTAAGCAACAACAAATAAAGTTTTCTTAGTTGCAACTCTCTAATATTTCATATGTAACATGTGTGCATTATAATTTAATAAATTTTATGTTAACTGGGGGTATAATTATGTGTCATATTTCATGTGTATGTCGTCATTTGAGCAATTTCCTACACCTGGGGTTAAGCAACATAGCCCAGAAATTTCTAAGTATAAGTTTGATGATATACGGTTACAATAATATTTTTTTTACACCAGAATGTTGAAAGCTCCATTTTTAACAGCTGAATATCTCATAATATAATCCCAAACTTTGCGATGTCATCACAAACGCCCATATTTACCTTTACTCTTGCCTCATTTTCAGCCTAGAATTATGACTTTTCGAGCGCAAAAGACCCAGTAAGCAACTCATTGAAATTTGCTGCCATTTTCTGTACGCATCCGTGGGAAGTAGAGTAAATTGAGCTGAGAACAGTTTAAAGGTATACAGTATATAGGAGTGTGGAATTTCGGTTGTGAAACGTGTCACGGGGCAAGGAGAGTAACTGCGTTAATCTCTTGACCATAATTTATGGTCCCGACTTAATGAGACAGCACCCGTCGGCCTTGCCCTTCAGTCCTTGACACCTTAATTAAAAAGAAAGAAAAAATATCACATGTGACCGCTGCAAGACCCAGGTGACCCCCTCGGCCTCATGACCTCTATGCGACCCCTTATGATGCATCTTGCGATTCTCGACCCCGTGTTTGGGAACCGCTGCTACAGATGGACAATGGGCGACCTAAATGAAGTTTAAAACATCTCAGAGGGCATTACCAAGGCGCACTACCCGGTCAAGTGTCCATTACCTGGAGCTGGTGGACGCCCTCCCCACACGGGATCACAGCTCAAGGTTGAAGAAGCCACAGGTCCAGAAAATTGTGAGGGCAAACTTTGTCGGAGTGAGAGTTGTGAACTCTTGGAACAATCTACCAGAAAGTGTTGCGACGGCACCGAGTGTAAGCTCTTTCAAGACAAGACTTGACCAACAGTGGAGCGGGTTCAGGTACATTCTGGAGTCAGTACATGCCCAGTACTTGCCAACAGTGCGTAACAGAGATGTGACCAACCGCCTAAGCGGCTATCGAGCCGATAAGTGGTGAAGAGATTGAAAGTAAAGTAAAAGTAAAGGTAGCGATCGAGAGAACACATACTGCATACAGTACTGTTCATTGTGCATACTGGGCACTTGGGTATATACTGCTATTATTGTTTTAACTACAAGAAAACCTATGGACAAGACAAAGAAAAGAGTTAATCTATTTTAAGACACACACAAGGCAATGGAATAAACCAGGAAGCGTTATAGGTGAGGAAGGAAAGAGGATGATAAGATACTGTATGTAAACACGGAGAGAATATCTAATAGGTGTGGTGGGGAGAAGAACGAGACGTGCTCATAAATAAATATGAATAGAGTAAAAATAAACGTATCAGATGAAGCGGAGCAACAAACGTACAGTACGTTATTATATACTTATATATGAACAAATAACACCACCATTTAACTAACATAAATTAGCATATTACGCTAATGAATGCACCCCCCCCCTCCCCTGAGCGAGCGGGCGCGTGCTGCATATGGCCAACCGCCCCAATCATTCACCTCTACTCAGCTAGATGGATAGCCTACCTGCTGTTACTCTATATTACTTTACTTCCTGTTCCTATTCTTTCCTCTCCTGTGTCATGGCAACCACTCGCCACTTTACTTCATCATCATCATTATCGGAAGTAAGTCAGGTGATAAAACACACATCAAGAGATGCTTGTAATCGACATCAAGCTATGAAGACCAAGACATCTCCTCCACACAAGAAACCAACACACACAATCAAGCCGACCAAGCACTGAACATCCATTGCCCACCCAACACGCACCTGACGCTTGACCTGACGCTAGCCTGGCTGTCTTGTCGCCTCCCTGCCGCGTCCAGGCGAGTTGCTGCTGCCTCCATCATATAATCCCTCACGCAAGCGGTGTTTAGCCACTGCATCTGTTCTCTCCTCCTAAAATTCACTTCAATCCTCCCTTTATTCTTCCCCTGAACCTCCTTCCCCCCTGTCACTAGCAATTTTCTATTCTATTCTACGTTTGCTTGTGGATCTCGCACTAAGGATGGAGGCACTAGCGTAGCTCGGGGGGGGGGTCCGCCCCGGGCGGCACTTTTGGGTCTGCTCATCACCCATATCTGCAGCTACTGGAGACGTTAATCCATCCCTTTGTATCGGCGGCAAGTTAATCCTTGTCGTGTATGACCTAACACCTGACCCACATCATCACGGCCACGTCATGAGCTACACCCTTGCTATGCGCCCCCCGCCACACACACAACCTGTAACCTGTTGAGGATTAAGGAAACAACTTCAAACAAGTACGCCAGTGAGCTCATGTGGTGTGGGTCAGGTGTTAGGTCAGACACCACGAGGATTAACTTGCCGCCCATACAAAGGGAAGGATTAACGTCTCCAGTAGCTGCAAAACCATGCAGTCTCGGGTCATATCAGTTCATGTACAGCCGACCAATCCAAGAAATAACTTTGAGATTTCAACAGCTTCATGAACTTGCTGAGAAATATGCCTTCCTTACCCCATTGAATCTTTTGGATGATAAATATGAGTGTCAAATAGATCAC